GAGCTACATAATGGACTCACAGTCGGTCCGTATCATCATAAGAACGCAAGATAAGCATGCAATGGCCTTGGACGCCCAATTCGAAGTTTTCCGGCGCGGCGCGGCCAACGACAGCGGCCAAGGAAGGACCGAGGAGGCAAGGATGCAAGGGTCCCCTTGGGAAAGTTGCACATCCTTGCTCATTATGCGGGTTGACTGCACCGCAAAGTTTCATGGTTCGTCGAATCTACGACATCACATCTGCATAATGTCCCGTATACCTACGCGCAGTATACGGATGTCCCGTACCTTCGACGAGAAAACTCAATTTTGGAGCAAATCAATTCTGCAGTCGGCCCCCTGCTCGACTTTCAGGAGCAGGGCGAGCGGAGACAACGGCAGCTCAAAAAATCGATCCCCAGACCCTCCCCGGGCCCGATAAAGCACCGACTTTCCGAGCGGCGTCCGGCTGTGGCGACCCGAAGACCAACCATCGTTGTCCCAACTCGTCCTACAGTCGGACTCGACTGGACAGGACTCGCGAGAGAACACAAGACCCTTCCGAGGGCCACATTGCCACAAGAATTTAGGAAGCATGGGTCACGAGACACAGGACACAAGAGTGCCCTTGATTTGGCAGGGCCGACCTACTAATCTGTGCCGACGGTACTCTGAACCCCCTCCCCCGCCTCCCTCTCACTTCTTCCCTGAAATCCGACGCTGCAAACCAAACAGCACCATCGCGGAAAGATGACGACCGTAGCCCCAGACCTAATCTTCCTGCCGCATTTCGACAGGCCAAACGAGCGTCTGTTTACCGATCAGCATCCCCAGCGGCGTGGCCTGGGCCCCACTGGCCGATTTACCCCCCTAGATGGGGATATAGGTCGTTCCCTTCGAGTTTCGAGGGGTGTATCCCAAACTGGGGAGGTAATTTGGTGGGGGTCTCGAAGGGGATGGGGATTGGGATGGGGACTGGTTAAACGATACCGACCAACATCGACATGTGATGGTCCCGAGGCCCGAAAAACGGGCGACAACGCCCAGCGCGACAAGATGCAACGCTTGGATCTCAAGGTTCCGCTCGGAGCTGCGCGAGCCGAGACCATGGCAGCTCAAACTCGGTCCCCGCTATCCCCCCCGAGGTCCCAACACGCGCCAATGTTCCGAGCTGCGTGCCGCCGTGGCGGCCAGGGCCCTCCCCCCCCCCGAGGGCAGACTACCGCTGCCGCCACTCACCCTGACCCTTCTCCTGGCTTCGGGCGCTGCAGCCACAAATTAAACGTCGCGAAAGAACTACCGGAGCCCTAGACCACATTTATGATATATATATATATATATATATATATATATGCCTGCTCCATTCTTCGGGCCAGCTCGATTTCTGATGGCCTCGAGGCCCGAAACCAAGCGACAACGCCCAGTGTGAGAAAATTGCAATGCCTAGATGTCAGAGCTTCTTAGCAACAAACCGGTCCCCAGACTCCTCCCAGGGTCTAAACGTTGCAATTTTCTAGGTGCATCCAACCGTGGCGATCAAGGACTCCTCGCGACTGGAACTTACCGTTGCATCAACTCGCCCTACTCTGACTCTTTGGCTGAAGCTCTAAGTCTGCAGCAACAGACTGCAATATCGTGACGAATCACGACAGGAGCCCTAGACCATACTTGTCTGCTCAATTTTCCGAGCCGGATCGATCTGTGATGGCATCCAGGCCGCCACGCGAAAACGCACAGTGTTACAAAAATTGTAACGCCCAGGTCTCGAGGTTCCGTCGCTCAAACTCGGCCCCAAAGCCCCTCCCATGGCCCAGACGCCTCAACTTCCCGAGAGGCGTCCAGCCGTGACGCCGAGGGCCCCTCTCCCCAGAAGGCCAACTACACCGCTGCCCCGGCTTGCCCGAGGCTCTGGTGCTTCCTAGACAAGCGCGCCCCACTACTCGCAAAGTAAGTACTCGCAGCTGGCCTGGATCCGCCGCGGGGGGTTCATGATCCGTTACAACGAAGCAAACACGTGTTTTTGTTCCAACCGTTTGCGAGTGGGCACTTTGCGAAGGGCGGGGCGCGCTCAATGACTTCCGTTTGCCCCGCTCCTCCACTGCGCCCTGGGGGTCGTGGGGAAGAGGCCCGCCGGGGTGACCACGTCGGCGCGGGGCAGGCGCCGCGCCACGGGGTAGGCTGGCGAGCCATCCTGCGCCGTATACGGCGCCGCGCCCGGCCTCATCGCGGCGTCTCCAGGCAGGCTTGGGCCCTCGGGCTGCAGGGGGTGGTGGTCAGAATGCTCCGCCGACGTGCTGCCCAGGCCTCCCCTCTCGACGTGGCCCCAGTGCCTGGAAGAATCCGTCGCGCGAGACATGCCTCCGACGGTGGGGCGCCGCAGGTCAATCTTGTCAGCTCGGCTGGGGATCGCCTGCTTCCTCCTGCTATTTCCTCCTGCCTTTTCTATTGTTTTCCTGCCTCATCCTCTTGCCTCCTTCTCTTCCTCCTGCCTCCTCCTCCTCCTCCTCCTCCTCGTCCTCCTCCTCCTCCTCGTCCTTTTCCTCCTCCTCCTCCTCCTCCTCCACCACCTCCTCCTCGTTCTTCCTCTCCATCCCGCCTGTTCTCCTCATGCGCCTCTCCTTCCTTCTGGCCGGGGCACGCATGTCGATCTTACACTGCGCCCTCGCCGCCACGGCCGGCATGCGCGCGTTCTCCGATGGCTGGATCGCAAAGCTGTTGGGCAACCCCGCAAGCAAGACCGTTGGGACAACCCTGTGCGCCGCTGGGGCGCGGGTGCAAGCCGTCGGGACAACCCCGCGGCTCTCGAGCTGGGCGCCGCGGCTCGCAGCCCTCTGGTCGAACATGGAGGCGGGGACCTCATACGGAGGGGCTCCCGCGCGAGATTTCCTGGCGATTCATTGGCACCCCCACTCAGGAGTTCCTTCAGATTCAAGCCTGAGGAGCCAAAAAGTTACGTTAATTACAAGCTTCAGATGACCCGCTCGGGTTCGAACATGGAGGTGGGGACCCCATAGGAAGGTGCTCCCACTTGAGACGTCCTCGCAATTCACTCCATGGCGGGGTTTCCGCTTGAGAATTCCTCCATATTCAAACCTGCGGGGCCAAAAAGTGACGGCAGATACAGGATTGAGGAAGACTCCCTGACACTAAGAACATAGAAAGCGCTGGCCCAATAGGGGAGGGCTCCCGCCTGAGACTTCCTTGCGATTCACTCACAGACGAGGCGTCCGCGTGAGACTTCCTTTAGATTCAGTCCCGAGGACTTCCTCTAGATTCAGTCACGACCGATGACCATGATAGGAGGATGATGGCAGTGATGCCGGTGGTGTGATGGCGATGTTGAGTGCTGATGGCGATATTAAATGATAAGTTTGATTGGATGTGTGAATGTGTATTATGAGAGTGTCAGTCAGCGCGCGAGTAAGTGTAAAATAATGACGATGATGATGCTGTTAATGATGAGGATGGTGATGATGGTGGTGGTGATGATGAGGATGATGTTCATGGTGTGGTGGCGAGTGACTACGTGAGTGAGTGAGTGAGTGAGTGAGTGAGTGAGTGAGTGAGTGATGATGGTGATGGTGATGGTGATGGTGATGGTGATGGTGATGGTGATGGTGATGGTGATGGTGATGATGATGATGATGATGATGATGATGATGATGCTTATTTCCCTCCTTGTAGTGATCGGGCACGCAAGCTGCTCGGCCACGCAGGCTGTGTGCGAACTCGGGGTCAAACACACGCGCCGTCAGTCGACAGCGGGATCGCTGCTGATGATGATGATGACGATGAGTATTCTGACTGATGATGGTGATGACGGTGGTGGCATGTTGATGAGAGGAGGAGGGGAACGGTGGGTGAGGTTCCTGCGCGGGGTGTGTGCTGAGAAAACAATAACACCACTTTGGCTGTGGGGATAAGACTGAATTCCAAAATGTTCAATTCCTGATTAAGTCGCCATCCCATGATACGCAAACGTTGAAGAATTTGTTCCCAAATTCTTGAACTCGTAAGATGACAGTATTCGATGTTGACACGTTTTGCGAAGGACCCTTGGGACTTACAGAAATTGAAGCCAGAGTCCAATATCCCCTAACAGAGTTTTTAGAACTACGCGCCCGCGAGGTCCAAAGGAGTGGCCCACGCCTGCACTGGGCCTCGTCATCCCTGTTCGAAATCGGGCTCCGGACCCCTCCCCCGCGGTCCGTCCATCTGGCGCAGTGTTTCCCCCCAGATCCATTTTTGACGGCCCCGAGCACCAAAACGGCCCCCAGAGACCGAAAAAAGCAGAACACGTTCCCTGGACAGGCGCGTTCCACTGCTCGCAGAGGAACTACTCCCGAGTGGCACGCATCCGCCGCGGGGGACTTACGACCCATGACATGTACGAAGACAAGTCGTTTTGGGGGGGGGACGTTTGCGAGCCGGCACCTTGCGAGTCGTGGAACGCGCTCGGCGAAACTTCGGGGATGGACAGACCCCCCTTTTGTAAAACGTGGCTTAGTGAAAACGACCTGAGGCCCAAACCTGGCGGGCGCAAGCCTGGAAAATAACGGCCACGGCGCCATCTCGAGAACCGAAAACGGACAATTCACTAATCGACGTGTCAGTGTTGAGGGTTCTGTCCACCCCCGAAACCTGGCACGTTCACGCCCCCCCCCCCATCCCTGGCGTGCCGCCTGGCGTGCAGCCGTCGCCTCCGTTCCTCCGCGCCCCTGTGAGGGGAGGGCCCAACGAAGCGGTGGAGGCCCGCGCCGGCCCCCTTTCCATGCGCGTGGCCACAAGCGTGCCACTGTCGCCGCTGCCCCTCCCGGTCTTCCTCCTGGTCCTCCCTCCTCGTTCCCGTTCCCCCATTGTCTCTTCCCACCCTCATGCCTCCAGCTCCTCATCCTCTCTCCTCTCCCTCCTCTTCCTCTTCGCGCTCTGAGCACCATGATTCCCAGGGAGTTGCCAGACCTTTCGCTTGAACCGATTAGCGCACACGTTTCATGTATGCCACTCACGGGTAGATGGTACGTTTCTTGTTCTTTCCACGCGTATGCGCTGTGTTCGGTACGTCGCAGGGTGATTCCCTAAGCAACGAATGCTGTATGGTTTGTTGTGCAGATACGCACTATTGGACAACAGACGAACCGAGGGGTAGGGGGCCATGAGCCATTTTGGACAGTATAATAGGGGAGACAAAGAGGAGTATGTGGAGAAACACAAATATTCTGGCGCCGCTTCACCGATGCCCCCACCACGCTGTGGTGGCGGTGAACAAGGGGCCTCGCAATGGTCAGACTCACAGCCCAATGCCTTCCAATGAAAATTTGCCGAAGGAAAACTGGAAACTGCTGGTGATGGTTATGCTTTTCCTCCTCCTCCTCCTCCACCACCGCTTCCGCATCCAACACCCTCCTTCTCCTCTACCGCCTGCACAGGCCCACCGCAACAATCAGGACCCCATACAGCACAACGTCTGTTTGGCGCCGGAAACCATCACGCCACTTTCTCAGAACCTGTCAGGACCAGCGCCAGGACATCCTCTGGATGCTTGTTGGTGAAGTAGTCGCTGTCAATGGCCAGGCCCTCTGGTTTGCTCAACGCCTCCACCAACGCGCGCACCTCTGCGGGCGACGTCGTGGCGACGTCCAGCAGATTGCACGCGACCTCCACGCCGCGCTCGTGCGGCAGCGCCATGGACTCTACGGCGGCAAGGCCGCCGCCACGTGCGCTGACCGCGCGGGCAACCCTGCGAGCCCGGCGCATGAGCTCGCCGTCGTCCCCCACGCCCCCAGCGCTGGCAGCGCTCAGCAGGAGGTTGTAGTTGAAGACCCACGGCACGGCGCCCACCACGGCGGCCCCGGAGCGAGCGCTGGGGGTGGCTGGCCCGTGGTCAGGAGGCAGCTCGGCCATCGCCCGGGCCATCTTGGAGGACAGCCCCGTCCATTCCCCGCGCGCCGCGCCGCCAAAATAGCCCAGCGCGCGGCGCAGCTCCGCCAGAGGCCTCTCGTCTGCGCGCGCCGCCCCGTAGAGGTAGACCGGCAGCGGAGGCCGCGCCGGCGAGGGCCCCGCGACGCCCGCCGCGGGGACCTCGGCAGCCCCCGCGCCGAGAAGCTGCCCAAGGCGAGCGGCGAGCGCGCCGGCATCGGCACGGGTGGCGGAGCCGAGAGGATTGCAAGCCACGTGGTCCACGACCCCCACGCGCGGGTGCGTCGCAGAGTGCGACTGCAGGTCCAGGGCCGACAGCGCCTCAGATGCCACCGCCAGCACGCCTGCCTCGAGCGGGCCTGCGCTCGCGGCGGCCAGGGTGATGCCGGAGCGGTGGTAGGCGGCGTCCATGAACTCGTTGGCAAGCACTGCGCCGCCAGATACCCCCGCCGCGGAGAAGCGGGACACCAGCTGCTTGTCCCGCCCCTCCGACACGTAGACGTGCACCGCCATCGCCCAGCCAGAGGACACGGAGCGCGGCGAGCCCATGCTGGTCGCCAGCGCGCGCGCCAGCGCACGCGCCGGTGGGCGCCCTGCCGCCGCAGACGCCACGGCGGGCGCGAGCATGTCACGCCGCGTCTTGATGCAAAATGGCTACGGCGTGTCGGCGTGACCAACTTTTGCGGCCTGTGTGTGCTCAAGGCGTAGATGTGTAATGCAGCGCAAGAGAGCAAGGGGACGTCATGCATTGCGACGCGTACTCCAGCTTAGCAGCACGCCGCGCAGCAAAGCCTAGAACTTCGTGGCACAGCCGCGGAGTGAACCACTGAATGGCACATCATATGCTGCACAGCGCAGCGTGTCACAGTATGGCATAGCGCATGACGACGCATCGCAGCAGTGCGCGACACAAGTCAGAGTGAGGGGGCCGAAATGTCATTCACTGTCCCTGGGCGCGTGGCTGAAAAAGGGCTCCGCGGCGCGGATTCTGCCTGTTGGGTACTCATAGAGAATACTTATTGCTGATCTCCGGAAACGGTTCCGCGCGCTCTCGCTTCGACGCTGGCTACATTTCCTCTGAAACGAGGCTCCCGCTCGAGCGTTGGCTTGAATGTCAAGAGGGCCTTGGAGGCCCGGCTACTACGACAACAGTTCCCGCTCGATGCTTCCTCACCGTTTACCCCGAGACACCCTGGCCAGAGAGGCCTCCGAACTCAGGAGCGGCACTCTCGCTCGAGACTTCCTCGCAATTCAATCAAGTTGGCGTGGGCCCAGCCACGACGACAAGGGCTCCTGCTCGATACTTCCTCACGATTTACTTCAAGAATTCCTGGCCAGGAAGGCCGCCGAACTCAGGAACGGCGCTCTCGCTCGAGGCATTCTCGTGATTCAGTCACATTGATGGAGGCCCAACTACGACGACAAGAGCTCTCGTTCGATATTTCCTCAAGATGTATTCGCAGAGGCCCTTGCCAGAGGCCCCCGAACTCAAGAATGGCGCTCTCGCTCGAGTCTTTCTCGTGCTTCAAGCAAGTTTGTGGAGGCCCACACACGGCGACAAGGGTTCCTGTCCGATATTTCTCGATACGTATTCCGAGAGACCCTGGCCAGATCGGCCCCCGAACTCAGGAACGGCGCTCTCGCTTGAGGCCCCCAAGAGCCCCCAATAGACCCCCTAAAAGGCCTTCAAGACGCCCAAGACGGCCCAAAACGGACCCCTGAGAGGCTTTAAAACTGCCCCCAAAACTCAGGCAGGGTGGCGGGATGGACGAAGGCCATTGGAGACCTTGGAACGCAGCCGAACACCAATCGGAACACCAGCTGGAGTCTACACAAAATCCATCCGGACACCTTCGGCCCACAACCGTGACGCCATACCCACACACTACGCAACACACACCCGGAACATGCTCGCAAAACTGCGGGGACAGCATCGGGGCGCCACGGCAGACCACTCCGGGACACACGTCCCGCCGCCCGCCGAGAGCAGCAGGACCAGCGCAGGGGCACAACAACGATGCGAGCCCTGGCTGCCATCTCACTCGTGCGCAGCTTCGCGGACGCACTGCGCGCGACAAGGTACATACAGGAGGAGACTACGATCTCCCGGCCGGGAGGGCCTCGCAACCAAAACGTCACATCCCAACATCCAATGCGCGTGTGCCCCTCCGCGCGTGCAAATGCAGATGCCCGATCACTCGAAAGCATGGACCAACCAATCACTGCAAACAGAGGTCAACATTTGGGGAGCCAGCTCACGTTGCGTTGGCAATTGCTCAGCACCAGGTCGGATACCAACTGCACCGACAGCATGGGCCACGTCATCTTCCAAACTGTCAGTCAGCAATTGCTGGGCAGGTCTCGGGATTATCCCTGGGTCTGTGAAAGAAGTTAGAAGCATCAATATTGCCGTAGCTGCCCACAACGCTAAGGTACAAACCAGATGGGGTGGATCCCGTTGCCACATGAGCTGAGCGCACAACGTCAAGTACGCTGCGGTAGGCATGATCACCATAAACCAAGCGAATACGTTGAACCTGAGGTCCACACTAGGTGGGCCAGTCACTAGCCTCCCCCTGCAACGGAAGCGAATCTTCCCACCTAGCTGCGTCCAAACCTTAGACGGCTGTGATCGGCCAGACAAATCCGCAGCTCAACTCTTCAATGCCCCTCACAACGACACAATACGACCTGCTCGTCCTCTTACTCGCGACTCAACTGCTGGGGCTCCCCTTTCTCCGACAGGTGCCCATCTTCGCTTCAAGGTCCAACGTCCTTGAATCCTGACGCCTCGGGCGATACCAGCAATCACTTCCGTCGCGTGCAGCACAGCCTGCGAGAGAAGAGCACCGATCGTGGGAGGTGTGTGTTCGCCGTGATGCCGTGGGCTGGCCCCAAGCTCATCTGGGCTGAGAGGTACGCGTTCGCTGTGATGCTACACACTGATTGCCAAGATCGCCCCGTGTTTGATCTACACGTGTCGAAATATGGCCCAGGGCTGAACCATCTTCATTCAAAGCGTACTGACCACGATGTTGATACGCTCCTCGCTGCCGAATCTCGGTATTATTTTGATGGGCAGGCGCCATGTACCATGTCATGTGGTATGGGCTAAGTTGCGTGAACAAGAAGGAGGGGACCCATACATCCGACGATCTGATTTCTCCCATGCGCGTCACCAAAGGTCCCGACCACTTCCCCTGGGGTTTCTTTTCGTCACGGAGCCGCTTTTGATGGTCGATGCCCAAAGGGCCGAAATCAGGGAAACACGCCGGGATTGAACAGATAATGTCGCCAGAGATCTCGGAGCGCGACTGAGGCCCGGGCTTCATAAACGAGGGGTGGGGGAACCCGGTCAGCCCAACTCCGTGCCGCCTGCCGGAACAGCTCCACGGGTAATGGCCCGCTGATGCCCAGATCGACAGCGTACCCTGCCCCATCCCTCCCGCCCCGCCCCCTCCCCTCCTGGTTCTTCTTGCTGCTCCTCCTCGTCCCTGCTCGTGCTGCTCCTGCTGCTGCTCCTGCCAATTCGCGCCTCCTCCTCCTCCTCCTCCTCCTCCTCCTCCTCCTCCTCCTCCTCCTCCTCCTGCGCTCTCCCCCGTGGCCGAAGCGATTGCCTGTGCGCACCTGGGCCCAACAGATCTGCGCCCGCGGACGGCGTCTGCCGCAGACTGGTGCGCTCGACGCGGCGCAGCCGCGCACCCGCATGCGCGTGTGCCGGGGTCTCCGCTGTCGACCGTCCAAGCGGTGTGCAGACCGCTCGTGGTCGTCGGGGGCGCCGGGGGCCTGACATCCCACCCTGCACGATCCAGCCCCGCTTGAATTGCACCTGTTCGCTTCCACTGCGCCTGTTCGCTTCCACGAGGCACTCCCCTGCGCTGTTCTCCTTGAGCTCTCGCGCTTGTTCCAGCCACGGCTACAGGCGGAGCTACGTGCGCACCCAGCGCTCTCGATCGGCGGCCCCTTTCCCAAAACGATCTGCCCCCCACCTGGCTGTGCCCGGAGATACCGAAACTGGACGGAAACGCAATGTGGATCCTGCAGCGTGACCGAGCAATAACAATCAAGGGCAACGTGAACTGACGCGCAAGGACGAGCTGAACGATGCGAACCACTGGGCGGGGGCAGCCGCGGAGGAACACATCGTTTCGAGTGGTGATGCACAAAGCGCCAACATTTACAACACGACGTGCCGTCGAACATAATGCGCGCCAGCGTGCCATCGCTCCTCAGAAACAGTGTTTTCAACTAGGGGTTCGTCCTTTGCTTTGTGGAGTAGTCGGTTGGGTATTCCGGGTATTCGCCACGTCACAGCCTGTGGCGCCCCATGCCGAGGTTTCGCCACGTTTCTGCTGCCTGGAAAAAAGAGCACCCGAGCTGGCCAAGCGCGGAGCGTTCAGCCCAATTCCGAGGAGGGTGCCCAAAAAGCCTGCATGACTTCGCATGCAGTCGGCTCACACAGCCCCAGACCGGATGCCCGAGAAAAGCGGCGGCTCACGTAGCCTGGGGCCGCTTGCCGACCGTGCCGCCTCGTGGGCGCATCGTGGGCGCCCTATGCACTGGGGGGTACACTGAGATTTCGCCTCGTTGCCGCAAGTGCCGCCTCGTGGGCGCCCCGCGCTTTGGGGCTGTGCTGACAATTCGTAACATTGCCGCCTGTGCCGCCTCGTGGGCGCCTCGTGTTCGCCCTGCGCGCTGCGGGGGTATGCTGAGGTTTCGCGTCGTTGCCGCCCGTGCCGCCTCGTGGTCGCCTCGCGGGCGCCCCGTGCGCTGGGTGGGGTTTCCGAAGTTGCGCCACGTTGCTGCCCGTGCTGCCTTATGGGCGCCCCGTGCTATCAGCTGACACGACGTAGCCTGCACCACAATTTACACAGCATAACATGCACCAGATAGCTTACACCGAATTCATACATGTATATAAACAGATGTTACTTAAACTATATGCGTACATACACAAGCATGTACACATATGACAGGGCACATCTTACATCACAGAACTTGCACACTATACCGTTCACCTCTACCTCGTAGCACCTAGCTTACACGACATAGATTACACAAACAAGTGCACCCCATAAAGGTCACCTCCATAGCTCACACCATAAAGATTGCACCACATTGCTCACAGAACGTAGATTCCCCTTTGCACAAAAAATGATGCCACCTCCCCTCTGCCGATAACCCATGGGACATGGGACGCTGCAGATTACATAGTAGATGTGCCTCGTCGCTCATTTTCCACATGGTCCTATGCCGTCCCAAGCCAAACGGCATCGACCCCCCCCCCGGTCCCTGCCCAACAGCACTATGCACGCACAGTCGTGCATCGCAGAAACCATTGATCATACATCCTTTCGCAAAAGCATGTACGAAGTCCGCACGCGCGGTCACATGTCGAAACCCGACCAAGCACACCAGTGTTGCAAGCTTATCAGCATAAAAGGATCAAGCCTCCAAGTCTGTTCTTTACCAGAAAACTCACATATGTCCTGCCCGCGCGCAGCTCTTGACATCGTGGGGAAACCATCGGATTGTCACAACCCCGTCCAGAACCCGCAGTCTGCGTTGTGACAGCATGCGACCAGCGCACGACTCCGTACCACATGGTGCCATGCGGGGCACACGCGCACGCCGCCACGCGCGCGCGCCGAAAGCTTTCCCAACCAATTTGTCCTAAATGCTTCAGAAGAGAGCGCGCTATTGAAAACCACGTTCAAAACCAGGCGCTCTCAAACAACAGGTCGCCCGGTTTCTTGCAGTCCCACGCGCGCGCACCTCATCACCATCACCGCCGTCATCAGCGCCGTCGCATCACGTCATCGCCACCGACAATCGCCGTACTGCCGCACATCATCACCGACACATGGATCTCATCATCGCCTTCGTCGTCCCTAGCATCGGCGCCGCTATTGGCCTTGACGTCGTCATCGTAAACGTCGCCAGCACGATC